CTGCCATGGCTGGTAAAGGAACTGGGTCAGTTGTGCAGAACTTGTAAAGGTCTGGGTTTCACAGGGCAAAGAACGCCTATACATATGGGACCACAGTCCATTTGCCCTTCTGTCTACAGAAAAGCTCTAACTGTTGGATGATATTAAAATCAAGGCTCCTCCAAGAAGGCCAGGTTTGTCTGTCCTCAAGATGGTAAGAAGGCCATGCCCTTGTGCAATAGATTATGAGGCACTTTTTCTTCAAAGTCTCAAGGTCCAAGCAGTCCCAGTGTTTTAAAATCCACTCCAGGGGACTGCATGCTGAAGACAATCTGTTACCCATTTAGAAAGAGAAGTGAGAATAAAAGTGTCCTTTTAGTCTCCTTCCTTTCTGTATATGACCCAGGGTGGAGAAGAAAACAGTGGGAGCATCCCCCAACTATTTTCCCTCCCTGGTTCCTGGATCCCACCTCCCTGTTAAATGTGCAGCCCATGACTATAGGCGTGACCCTCCAAGCTATGGCACCAGAGGAACTAGACTTTTGGGCCTAGTTGCACTTCCCCAAGCAGCCCTAGTCCTCTGCTTATTATTTCCCTTCGACCTCCTAGACTTGTGTGACCTGTGTAACTCCCTAAAAGAAATGGATCTCAAGAAAAACTAGGTAATGGGGCAAGGCCCCTTTAATGGAGGGGGTGTGCTAGATTGAACTCTATATCCTGCTATTATGGCCCATGCTAAAGCATTTACCCTTAGAAAAATGGTTCCGGTTAACTTCTGGACTTAAAAATCCCCTTACTAGTTAAGTACTACCTTAATCGGAGACAGAATAGGTGCCTTTAAGGAACGTAGGAACCAAATGACCGTTTTCCTGCTGATGGGACAATATTGAGACTAAAATTTGGCCACACAGAAGACATTTAACCCCTATCTGTTGAAAGCAGAATTTTCCTGTTCACGGAAGAGGCTTAGAGCCCGATTTCTAGTGGTGCAAAAGGAAGCTGCAGTGTTACCATTTAAAAAAAAAAAAGTGCCTCATGAAGAGGATTTCTATTTCCACTAGGTGGCACTGTTGGTTTAGAAATACTATGTGCTCGCGGCTGGGGCGGGTGGATCACAAGGTCAGGAGATCGAGACCATCCTGGCTAACACGGTGAAACCCCGTCTCCACTAAAAATGCAAACAGTTAGCTGGGCGCGGTGGCGGGGGCCTGTAGTCCCAGCTACTCGCGAGGCTGAGGCAAGAGAATGGTGTGAACCCGGGAGGCGGAGCTTGCAGTGAGCCAAATCGCGCCACTGCACTCCAGCCTGGGTGATAGAGTGAGACTCCGCCTCTCAAAAAAAAAAAAGAGAAAAGAAAAGAAATACTATGTGCTCGCTAGAGAAGCGGTAGAGAGACCTGGAAATGCCCTGCACTCTCCAGACCAAGGGCAGAGAGAGAGAGAGAGAGACGCTCACTCTGGGTGGGGGTAGGGAGGAGGGGGAGGAAAGGAACCCTCTTTTCCTAGAAGATTGCAACAGCATTCCTGAGCTAAACTCCTGGTTACTAAATTCCCGCACATTCTACACAGAGAGAGAGAAAGAGACCGTGGATAGAAAAAGAAGGAAAGTTTTGTGACAGGATAGCTGGGGATTCTCTGCCAAAACCCGAAATGGGCTGTTGGAGGCTGGGTCCAATCCAGAGGCCTTTGAATAACGCCAGGGTGTGCCCTGGCCAGAAATTTGCAGTTGCCTCAGAACTTTTCCCAGCCTCACCCGATGGTAAGGTTTCCCCATGAAAGGAAACTGATTCGAAACACGGCCAACATTCCCAATGACCCGTGGGTATTGGGAGGTTCTCCGTGTTCTCACCTGGAAGCTTAACATCCCAGGCTTTAGAATGGCAGTCATGATAAGCGTATTTTTATCTAGCTGAAGGATGTCTGTTGATTGATTTGATTTGATTTTAAGATAGAGGCCAAGAGCCCCTCAGAATGATAGAACAGATTTTAGGTTTGCTCCTATAGTCACCACTCTGATGAATGTTGTACCTCAGATTCCCGGCCAGTGCACCAAAATGATACGACTCCGATGACTGAGGGAACACCAGGGCCCTTTGTCTCGCACCAATTTAGATAAATGACACGGACACCCGTGGAGTGGTTTTAAGGAGTGGAGAGTTTAATAGGCAAGAAAGAAGCTCCCCTGTACAGAGAGGAGGGTGGCTCCAAGCGGGGAGAGAAAACCCCATGTGCAGCGGAAAACACTGGGTTATATTAGGAGGCTGGAGGAGGTGGTGTCTGATTTCCATAGGGCCCAGGGGATTGGTTTGACCAGATATGTCATTCATGTAGCCCACGCAAAAACTAGCCTTTTAATATTCAAATACAGGCCACCATGATGTTCTGTACACGTGAAGATATCTGGGGTGACTATGGTGCTTGGCACACATGGTGACAAGAAGAAGGTAGGAATCACCATATTGGATGGACCCAGTTTCTAATGGCTGGCATTTGCATATCAAAGCTTGCCAGCCTGACCCTTTAAGCCACTCTTCTGCTAGAAAAGAAATATTTTTGGAGCTACATTATTAAAAGAAAAAAAAAAAAAACCTTACCAAGCTGCATTATTAAAAGAAAACAAAACCTTGCCAACCTTACCCTGTCTAATTTCTTAATAATTCCTATAATCTGCTATTTTAATTCAAGAATTTTCAGCTCTTTAAAATGAGAAGGAAACTGACGTTGACGGTGTCAGATATTGTGCTGATTGCGTTATGTCCATTGTAGCTCATTTTAATCCTCACAGCATTTTCATTGTAGGGATAAGTAAACTGACACCCAAAGTCATGTAAGCAATAAATCCAGTAATGTGGATTTGACTTTTAAGTGAGCTAACTCCAAGTCTAAGTTGAATCAGAACTTTTAGCAATTTCTAGGTTCTCATGTTACTAATTTTATATTTGGAAGGTTACTCCATCAGTCATCATTTGTAATACTTAAAATGAGTAAGTAGAACATTAGCACTGAATCTGGGGAAAAACACCACAATTTCAAGTATTCAGTTAAGTAGCTGAGAATTCAGCCTGTTAAATAATGATCCCTTTTTGAACTCAGAGATGTTTTTCCCGCTTTACCCAGTGACAGGACCTGTAAAGGCATGCTTCCTTGTTGTGATTTTCTCCACAGTGAATCTTGTTTTGTTCACTGTTACCTTGAAGGTGGACCTCATTGGGGTCTCCAGTTTATGTGGGGATTTTTCATTAGGTTCTCTCGAATTGATCAGGGCCTGGGTTTTATCTCATGCTTCTAGTGGCTTACATGGCTATCAGAATTGAAGCTCCAGGTCACCAGAGTTTTGCAATACCTTCAGGAACATTCTGGCTTTGGAGCTTACTTCTCTCCCAGGTAGTCTCATTCTCATTTGTTGTTGTTGTTGTTGCTTTGTTATACTTTTAGGTTCTGGGATCCATGTGCAGAATGTGCAGGTTTGTTACATAGGTATACCTGTGCCATGGTGGTTTGCTGCACCCCTCAACCCATCATCGACGTTAGGTATTTCTCCTAATGCTATCCCTCCTCTAGCTGCCCACCTCCTGACTGGCCCCAGTGTGTGATGTTCCCTTCCTTGTGTCCATGTGTTCTCATTGTCCAACTCCCACTTGTGAGTGATAACGTGGTGTTTGGTTTTCTGTTCCTGTGTTAGTTTGCTGAGAATGGTTTGCACCTTCATCCATGTCCCTACAAAGGATGTGAACTCATCCTTTTTTATGGCTGCATAGTATTCCATGGTGTATATGTACCACATTTTCTTTATCCAGTCTAACATTGATGGGCATTTGGGTTGATTCCAAGTCTTTGCTACTGTGAATAGTGCTGCAGTAAACATACGTGTGTGTCTTTATAGTAGAATCCCAGTAATGGGATTGCTGGGTCAAATGGTATTTCTGGTTCTAGATCCTTGAGGAGTCACCACAATGTCTTCCACAATGGTTGAACTAATTTACACTCCCACCAACGGTGTAAAAGCGTTCCTATTTCTCCACATCCTTTCTAGCATCTATCGTTTCCTGACTTTTTAGTGATCGCCGTTCTAACTAGTGTGAGAGTCTCATTCTCATTTTTTATGGTCCCTGTGAAACCTTACTTTCTTGCCAGCTCAACAACTTGTTTTGAAATATTTTTTAAAATAATTTATTCAGCATTTGTACTTATTTTCAAGTTAAGGATTGTATATCATACTGCCCAAAATGGAATTCATTGTATTTCTTCTTTATTTATTTTGTTTGTTTTCATTAATTTAAACCACAAAAAAGCAGGAGAAAATGGTGTGGATTTTTTTTTCCAAAGAAGTAATCATTGGACTTACAAAAATAAGGCTTGGTATTTATCTGTCTGTATACATACACATACACACACTCATAAACACATATCTTTGTAAAATGGGTTAAGCAAGTGTTAACTGAGATTGTTTCTTAGTGTTTTTTGTAATTTGCTTCACTTTATTTTCTATAATGAGTATATATTGCTTTTGCAATAAGAGAAACTAAAATCATTATGGGAAAAAGGACTTTTTTGGAATAAAAATGCAATTGAACCAACACACAGAGTATGTGTTGAATGTGTAACTATCATAATATCTCATATATATATATCATTAAGCCTTAGTTAAATAAGGTGCTTTGTGTAAATAAATGTTCTGGACAGACTGTTCCTTCAGCATGAGATTCTGTTTTCTTTCAGCCATTTTAGTTGATGCTTTGTAATGTATACTGGGCATTTCCCCACCTTGTTTTTGCAGCCTGTTCCTTAGTGTTGGACTATATGGCCCTATACTGAATAATCCCGGGTTGCCAAATAATGTAGTAGATCCACTTTCTAAACATTAAAAACAAAATATGTCTGTAATAGTTTTTTCCCTCACTGTACTCTTTCTATAGTATGTTTTCTTAAACTTTCTTAAATTAGCTTCTTATTAGAAACACCAGCTGGAATAGTTACTTGATAAAATGATGTCTGTTTTAAAAATCATTGCCTTCTTTTTAGGACAAGGAGCATCCAAGATACCTGATCCCAGAACTTTGCAAACAGTTTTACCATTTGGGCTGGGTCACTGGGACTGGAGGAGGAATTAGCTTGAAGCATGGGTAAGTTTCTGGCAGCCTTTATTACTGGGAACTCTCCATTTGAGTAGACCACAGCGAGTCTAATGTGTTACATCCAAAGAACAACTGATGATCAGTTTTATGTGATACCGTAGGTCTTTAGTTTCTAAATGGACAAGTGGACGTTTGTATAACTGAATGGAAGCAATGTACAAAAGCTGAAGATGTATCAAATACCTGAAGATTGAAGAACTACAATTTCAGGTCACAATAATTTAGTCCTCAGTTTTTGAGTACCAGAGTTAAATAACATGCTACCAAGTATGTTCATATACCTGAAATTCCAGCGGATCCTCTCTGGGTAGATAGGATTTGTTTCAAAGGTTCAGGTACTTTGTTTTTTGAAACAGAGTCTCGCTCTGTCACTCAGGCTAGAGTGGAGTGGTGCAATCATGGCTCACTGCAGCCTTGACTTCCCTTAAGTCAAGGGAAGGCTTAAACAATCCTCCCACCTCATCCTCCTGGGTAGCTGGGACTACAGGCATGCACCACCACGCCTGGCTAATTTTTTCTTTTTTCTTTCTTTTTTTTTTTTTTTTTTTGTAGAGACTGGGTCTCACTGTGTTGCATGGGCTGGTCTTGAACTCCTAGGCTCAAGCAACCCACCTGCCTCGGCCTCCCAGATACATATTTTAAAGTCACTTAAATACAGATGACTAATCATTAAAAATCCTAATAATTTTTTTATTGAATCAAAAGAAAGGCAGTATGCTTCCTAAGCACCTGTATCATTAATGAATATAGTACCTGCTAATCTGTATTCCTCAGAGGACAAAATAAGATGTACTGGACTTAAATTGAAGCAGGAAGGATAAATAGTATTCAATTGCTCATTGTATTTATTTAGTGTCATTTATTCAAGAAGATAAAGAAAGTAAGTGTTAGTAAGAAGTAACTTGCTATCAATGAAATTAAGATTATAGAATCTCATTCAGGGATTTCCAACATAGGATTAATCTTTTCTTCCTCCTGAAATGTGTTAGGAATATTATTGTCTGGAGGCTGTGTGTTAAATTGAGTGATGTTGATTTATTACTTCATTCTAATTCACTTTCTTTAACAAAATTGGATTGTTAAAATATTTATGTGCTGATAAGTATATATAGTCATGCCCCCAAAGAGGCTGCATTGCATATTAACGAATGGAATGTTAAATATAATCAGAACATTTTGAACAAAAGGGAGTCTATGGTATACCACAAGATGATGCCATTATAATTTTATCTGCTTTAAATTACTGAGTTAACTCATGAAATTTTCAATGAACGTTGGGAAATGACAAGAGGTGCCTCTGTTAGCAACTAGCACACTTAGGGATGTAAGTCATTTTGAACAAAAGGGAGTCTATGGCATACCACAAGATGATGCCATTGTAATTTTATCTGCTTTAAATTACTGAGTTAACTCATGAAATTTTCATTCTGGCACAGTTAGGGATATAAGTATGCTCTCAGTCTAGTAAGATTATGTTTCACATGGTAGATCAATAAATCCATCTGTGCCTCTTCTCTTACCATCAGCCTAGCTGCTGATGTGTAAATACAGCATTGCTCAAGCTTTCACATTAGTTTGCCAAAACTTTCAAGATGGCCTATTCACAGCAAACCCTATGATAACAACATTTATTCTTGTTTCATGTATCCATTTAGAAGTTGAGTCCCAGTAATACAGTTTCCCAACTGTGTTATTTATAATAAATCATATTCTAAATGCTGCCTTTAGTTAGCTGCTTTTTATTTGCATGTTCAGAAATAGTTTGTGTATGTATAAAATAAAGCTTTCTACCAAATGAGCTAAAATAACCATTTCCAACTGGCTCTTTTAAAAAAACCAGCCAAGTTAGAAATAGGTGAATGCAGGACTCAAGATGAAATTTTTCTTATCAAAAAGACATAAAGAACTATGTTCTTTCTAGTAGAATTTTACTAATCCACGCACTACCATTGTATGTGGCCACCATAAACCACTCATTGGCACATCTTTTAAAATTAAATGGTTTTTATAGCACTATAATCAGCTTATAGGAAATTTTCATCATATATGTGAAATGCTTTATCCTTAGTTCTTAATGGGTATGGAGATCATGGATGGAAAGAGCCACAGTCATGTGGCACTGTATTTGGAATCTTATTAAATTTGTGCTTTACGTAGTAAAATGAATATTTTGTAGTAAAATGTTGGTTTTTTCCCCTAATATTTAAATGACTTAAGTCACTAGCATTATCAGCAATACTATTCTCATGTTGTTAGTGAAAGTTTGGCTCTTTGATGCTTAGGGCAAATAAATTTGGAATAAAGTGCAAACCCAATAAATTATGATTCCACAATAATATAGACAATAAAATCGGGAACATAAAATGATTTACTGATTCCAAGGTTTGACTCGGCCATTCCAGCTTATGCCACAAGTGTGTGGTACCAAAAATTAAGTCACAAGAAGGAAATAAAGGACCGAAAAAATAATAGTAATCAAGGCAATTCCAGGATACTCAATAGCCACTGGGTTTAGTTTAGATCCCTATCATTCAAATTTGTAATTTCCTATTTTCACAGAGTAATATTGACAGGTATCGGAGAGACTGATCCTGTTGCATGTGATTAGGACTACAATTAATAAAGTCATATTGTAGACAAAATAATTGAAGCACTATAAGATTTAAATTATTTTTTAAATGACCAGAAAGCAAATAAAAATAGAAGCAACTGAACAAAGATGTATTTTGACCTCTTGGGGGTTGGCCCTTGCTTACCACAGTGAAAATGCAGGAGTACAGAGAAGTATATTCCAAAATTTAGTAACTTGAAATTCAAAATGCTTTCTGTGTGTGGCTTAAAGCACCAAGTAGATATTTCACTTTAGTATATGGCGTGTTTCTATTCTAAAAAACACTGTCATTTTTATATTTTTATCCAGATATCTCGTTCTTTGTAGATGTAAATATATTTTTCTAAAACATATTTGGCTAATGTTTTAATTACCCTAAGTTCATCAAAGTCTAAATTAATTTCAGTTTTACAAAGACATTTACAGGACTCAGCATACCAAGTCACTGAATAAACAGAATACCCTACTTTATAGAATAGTTTTACTTACCAGCAGACCGTTTTGTACTTTATTTGAGTCTATTCCCAGGACTGCATAAATTTCTACCCACATAAGAAGACCCACAAGTCCACTTATCTATTCAGGTGAGTGGACCACGTACCATACATGAGTCTAGAGCTTCTTCCATGTTACACAAGGACACCAGATTTAGATCACTGGTATTCACAAAGAGCCCTTGTTAATAGTATGATCCCAACCCATTCTCACTGGTTCCAGAGGAATATCCCTTTATGTTATCCTTATGTCGCAGAACTCGGAAACAATAACCACTTCATGAAAGCGAATGCTTGCATGCAGCTTACAGTGCATTGGATTTCCACTCACATTATCAGACATTTGTTTTCTAGACTTCATCAGTAGAACCTTAAAGAAACTTCTGTTTCACCCTACATTTTTATTGATTCCAAGCCTACAGGTTTATTAGTAACCTGAACTTCAGCAGCTTGATATATAGGCCATTATCCTCATTTGCACTATGAAATGTTTGATATGTGTTCAATGTCCCTATGTCTGTGCCTTACTGGCAGAAACTAGAGCATGCAGGTACTGGCATTTTCTTGGTTTACATATATATGGGCAGCTCATTAATACTCTCTGGTGGCAACTGAAACTGGTAATTTATCAAAGATATCCAACGAAAAGAGAAAAAATCTGATACGTGAGCCAAGGGACGTTTGTTTAGTTGTTGTTGAGGGTGGAAAGACTTTAGACAAGATTTGAAATTAATTTCCAGGAGGGGGAGGAGCAAGATGGCCAAATAGGAACAGCTCCAGTCTCCAACTCCCAGCGCAAGCCACACAGAAGACAGGTGATTTCTGCATTTTCAACTGAAGTACTGGGTTTATCTCACTAGGGAGTGCCTGACAATCAGTGCTGGTCAGCTGCTGCAGCCCGACCAGCGAGAGCTGAAGCAGGGCGAGCTGAAGCAGGGTGAGGCATGGCCTCACCTGGGAAGTGCAAGGGGGAAGGGAATCCCTTTTCCTAGCCAGGGGAATTGAGACACACAACACCTGGAAAATCGGGTAACTCCCACCCCAATACTGTGCTCTACCAAGGATCTTAGCAAACGGGCACACCAGGAGACTATATCCCACACCTGGCCAGGAGGGTCCCACACCCACGGAGCCTCCCTCATTGCTAGCACAGCAGTCTGCGATCTCCCGGCAAGGCAGCAGCGAGGCTGGGGGAGGGGCGCCCGCCATTGCTGAGGCTTAAGTAGATAAAGCGGCTGGGAAGCTCAAACTGGGTGGAGCTCACAGCAGCTCAAGGAGCCCTGCCTGTCTCTGTAGACTCCACCTCTGGGGACAGGGCACAGCTAAACAACAACAACAAAAAGCAGCTGAAACCTCTGCAGACGCAAACGACTCTGTCTGACAGCTTTGAAGTGAGCAGTGGATCTCCCAACACAGAGGCTGAGATCTGAGAACGGACAGACTACCTGCTCAAGTGGGTACCTGACCCCTGAGTAGCCTAACTGGGAGACATCCCCCACTAGGGGCAGACTGACACCCCACACCTCACACAGTGGAGTACACCCCTGAGAGGAAGCTTCCATAGCAAGAATCAGACAGGTACACTTGCTGTTCGGCAATATTCTATCTTCTGCAGCCTCTGCTGCTGATACCCAGGCAAACAGGGTCTGGAGTGGACCTCAAGCAATCTCCAACAGACCTACAGCTGAGGGTCCTGACTGTTAGAAGGAAAACTAACAGGAAGGACACCCACACCAAAACCCCATCAGTACGTCACCATCATCAAAGACCAGAGGTAGATAAAACCACAAAAATGGGGAAAAAGCAGGGCAGAAAAGCTGGAAATTCAAAAAATAAGAGTTCATCGCCCCCTGCAAAGGAACGCAGCTCATCACCAGTAATGG